AGTTCTTGGAGTCTTCTTGTGTGGATAGTCAAATAAAATAAATAAATACCTTCGCCTACACGGCAGAATGCAAGTGGTCGCGATATTGCCAAATAGCACGTAAGACAGTTCAGACTCGAAGTAGCAACTTAATTCCTATTGGAATGAGTCTTCTGTCCCGCTACCCGCCATATATAATATAAATATTTATGTGTACACTGGTCTGTACAGACGTCGGTCAATATTTATTTAGAAATATAGTAAAATATTTACATATCTGATTGTTGAGTTTATGAGCATTCGGATTGTCCACTCACTCCATAGTCCACACTATATGTCCGTGTGACTACACATATTACTAGGACAACTGTAGTTGGTTTCACCAACTGCGTAGTGCGCCACCATCCATATACATTTAAAAAGTATTGAAATGCTTTGACTTCGTATAGTTTACAGAAGCAGTATCTTTTAATAAGTACCTGTCAAAATGACAAAAGAGGGAGTTTCCCTACCCTCCAATGTGGCCATCATTGCTGGTATGGCCGCGGGAATCATTTCTATGGCTTTATTGGACATGTGGCTGAATCGACATGTCGAAGAATCTGAGGTAGGAAATCTCTGTGACCTTTTTTGTATTGATTGTTATAGCTCCTTCATAGTAGCGTGCATTGTACAGGTATGTACAATCGTTCCTGTGCATAAATTGCGTGAGGGTACATAGAACGAAATATGCACGTATTGCGCGACAGGTGCGTGTCTTAATAACCCCAGTACCCAGAATGGGCAATTTGAATTCTGTTATGTTAACGAACTCAAAATTTGATATCATCCTCGCACTAAGTTTATGGATCTTGGTTCATGGTTTCACAAATACTTATACACGCAAGCAAACACGCACGCACAAGTACACACACATATAAACCACATACACATACACAGAAACAGACACAGACACAGACACACAGACACACAGACACACACACACACACCCATACACACACACACACACTCACTCAACACCCAACTC